ATGTGGTGAAACCTCTGAAATCCAGAGGAATTGGGGAGAAGGCCAGCTGGAGTGATGGACACGGGGCAATCAGGTCTATTATTTTCAAGAAATGGGATCACAGATGTGGAAGAAGCCTGGCCCAGCTTGATGTAGAAGACTTTGTGCTTCATCCTGAACAGTGCTTCATCTTAAATGCTTCCAAAGAGGGAAGGCGCATTATTCTGAAAGGGAATCTCTTTTATGCTTAGGAAAGTCTTTTACCTGCCCTGGAATCTGCCTATCCACAAGGCCATGCTTGCACTACAGTCTTTACAAGCAATAGACACTGCCCTATTCTAACACTAGATACATTTCACAGCATGTCCTGGGCAGACTGACTAACCTCAGAATACTCAGCTATTATTTCCGTAATAAATGTCATCAACTCTAACTAGAAACACGAGATATTTAGAAATTGCTATTTAGCCTCTACATGAACAGCTGTACAAATTCAGGGCTTAGCACAGCTTGAAGACTATCTGTAGTGGCTTCATTTTACAGATAAGCAAACTGAGGTCCCCCGAGGAAACTGCCTTCCTGGACTGTGAAGAGAGAGAGAGAAAGAGAGAGGTTGAGCTGAGACCTATTTATCCCCACCCCAGTAGTAGGAATTTAAGTAAAAATCTGCTCATTTCACCCGCCTCCTATTGTTCACAAGACACCAGCATTTCTTTTGTTTTGTTTTTGCTTTTGTTTTTCCAAGGACAAGGTTTCACTGTGTAACACTGGCTGTCCTGGAACTCGCTCTGAAGAGCAGGCTGCCCTTGAACTCACAGCGATCCGCCTGTCTCTGTCTCTTGAGTGCTGGGATAACAGGTGTGAGTCACCACTGCCCTGAAAGACACCAGCATTTCAAGCTCTTGAAAGTGCTTGGAAAATTTGTTCTCCAAAGTATTTTAAACATTTCTCCATCAAATTCTATTTGTACTGTCTGTCAATAAAGTAAGGCGTAGCACACAACTGAGCCTGTGTGGCTGACAGGAAGAAGGGAGGTTTCTACTGTTAATGAAAAGTGTCACTCAAAGTCCTTCTTGCTCTTCACAGTCAGAGAATAATTGTCCTTTGCCTTAAGAACACTAGCTCAAAACAGACAGCACACCTCTAGGACAACTCAGACCCATGTCCACAAGGCTCAGCTATTCATTCAACTTACAAGACCATCCTGACTTTGGAACTGAGGGTGACTTTGCCGGGACCTGTGGCAGCCTGTGCTTCTGTTTTACCCTCTTGTGTTCATTTT